GAGGAGGAGATGGACACAGGGGACAGGCGTCAGTGTCCTGTGTAAGGAGGAGGAGATGGACACAGGGGACAGGGGTCAGAACTGTGGAGATGTGCTGGCACTGCACTGGCACAGATAACGCACCAGCATGGTTCCTGGGACAGTGCACCCAGTTTTTCTGGCTTTGCAGTTTCAGAGCCTGTAAACTGGCACTACTATGAAGAAACACAGCTCCATTCTCTCCAGTGCAGCACTAGACACCACCAGGACCGCTGGACTAATTGCTGCCTGTAACCTTCTCTTGGACAGAAGCACAACACATTTTCTAGGATCTTCCCCCTTCGGCTACCTGCTTCTGGGGGTCACATGACAGCAAGCCACAAGACCCGTAAGGCTCAGCTGGGACTCAGGAGCCCTGGCACTGCCTGCTGTGCCACTCTTAGTAACTAAAGGGCGGGACCCTTACAGCCCCCCTGGCCATCACTGATCCACAGAGCCCTCGGTCACTCACCGGGCCAGCTGCTGCATCGCTCTCCCGCGTCTCGTCACACGGTCCTGCCCCTGGGTGGCTACAGACAGCTGGGCACCCATGGGCCCCTGGAGACCCAGCTTACATCTCTGCATGGAGGACTGTGCCTGAGTTTGGTTAATGTAAACAGCTTTCCTCACTGAGGGGTGTAAATGTTGGAGAATACTGTACTAGGTCACATTTCCCCAGACTGACAAGCTTGAGTATGAAACAATATGACAGTGCCCCCTCTTGGTGGGTTTGCGAACTGCTCTGTGTGTGTTGGAGGGGCTCACAGCGAGATTGGATCATTTGTCACCTCGTTTCTGGCTGCGCAGCCCGGCGCCTCTGCCCGAGCCTGTGATTAATGCCTGCTAATTCATTTATAGCCACAAGTCGTTTTGGGAGCACAAACCACTCTGATGGGCATCTGGCTCAGTGCCCCTGCTCCAGATCCATCACCGCGCGCTGGCACAGCCCCCTTCCTCCATGGCGTATTTATTTACCGTTAACATCACACCGCAACACTTCATTAAGGCGATAAAAGCCGCTGGAATGAATCAAAAGCGCTTTTCTTTGTGCACACAGGCAGCACTGTTCCAGTCTCACATCTTAAAGCTCCTGGGTGAGACTCAGCTGTCAGGACCCTGGTTACAAACAGCTCTTTTTCCTGGGGAAGAGTGATGTCTGCTGCTCTGGGCTCAGGTACTGTACAAGTCTATTGATCGGGTTACAAAGGCCAAAGTGCCTTTTAATATCTTCAGAACAGCACCAGGACGTTCCGAAATACTGCAGCCTGTCCCAGCTCCCCCGTCCCAGCGCTGGTGGAGAGCACTGGGGCCCAACCAGCACCCTGCCGTGTCTGTCCAGCCCGGGACACAAGCATCAGCCCTTCCAGACAGCAGGCGTTTTATTTCACAGTCACCATGCCCACCTGGCGCTCTCCTGCTCCCCAGAGCTCTGCAATTTGGTCCTTAAGGATGAGGAACAGTCATTTTACAGAGCATCTTCAAATCCAGACGCAGAAACTTTAATTGATTTGCATCGTATACTGCACTTAAAACCCTTATTTTCTTTTTTCTTACTGTACTAACATTTTATTTCCTATCACAGTTTTTGTCCACTTACTGTAAAGCACTCCGAGAAGCTACTTTTAAAGGCGCTATATAAAATAAAGTAGCCTTGGTAGCTCGGATGGCAAGGGCAGAATTCGGGGGGGCTCTAAAGACTCATATTGCAACAGTAAGCCTAACATGTCCAATGTGCAAGCCATTTAAAAAAACAGTTTCACAGTCCACAGGAGTCATCAAATATTTAATAAAATATTTAAATGTCTCTGCTGAAAAGCTGAACACTTATTGTACATTTTTTATTCATTGTGATTTCCCTGACTGCACAGCCGCAGGCCTGTGAATGAGCTCTGTGGGCAGAATTCATTCTGGATGCCGTGCTGATCGATTTCAGAGCTGACACACTACGTTGAGCCTTAATGAGGATTTGAAGTTCAGGGGGAGAGATTTACTGCTCCAAATCCCTCTTGTCGAAGTGCTTTTGTAGGATTACAGGCAGCAGTGGCGGGGCACAGGGGGATGTGGACTGAGTGGGAGACGTAAGCGTCAGTTGATTTTGAGTGAAAATGCTCTGTGAAGCCCGGTCTATATAACTGCTTCTCTGCAGTCTCATCCCCAAAATCTCAGAAACTCGCACACCCTTGGGTGCACCTGGGCAGCAAGGGCTGAAACAAGATGCTAGTTTACATCCAGAGCAAAGGTGCAAACTGAGGGTTCCTACGAGGTGCATTTTAACACTCTGTCTAAGTACATCAGCAATTAGACCACTTTCTTTGACGATACTGAATGCAGGATCAGAGTTATTTTTCAATGGCATCCAGCAAGCTCTTTCAAAGACACAGAGATCAAAATTCCAAGAAGAGCCAGTTCGACAAAGACTCACTGCCTGTGCACCAGGAGAATTTGTCTCCAGACCTCAGCAATCAGGACCGAATTTCTTGGATGTCCTGAGCGATGCTCTGCTCAGGGGATTCAGAAGTCCTGTGAGCCGGAGATACTGAGTCCAGGTCCTGTGAGCACAGCTCTCCGAGCACATTTCCCCACCTCTTCCTGTCTGAGTGCTCGAGTGGAGCTCTTTAATTGAATTAGACGCTAATTTAGAGAGAAAAACTTCTATGTCAGAAACAATCAGTCTTTCGATGCTGCTTCCAAAAAACAGCACTAGGGCCACCTGAGACCAGAGAGTTAAAACAAGTGTGGTTCTCTTTACTGATGTGGAGAAACAGACTTGACATAAAAAGCCTTTTAAGAAAGGTGGTTTCGACTGACGTCAATCAAAGAACAGAGGATACGGAGAACCTAAAGACAGCGTGACAGGCCTGCTCTTCTGTCTCACTCATGAAACAGCGGATATCACATCCGTTAATGACGACAGAGAGGACTTCCAGCAAGAACAAGGAGCTGCATAATAAAATCTGAAAGGCAATTGTAGCTCTGTCACATCTCAGCGTTGACTACTGCTGTCAAGGACTCCACAAGTCTGCCCATATGTCATGCAGAATGGGAACAGGCAGGGGCTGGGGAGCGCAGCCAATGGATGGCTCTCCTGGGGCTGCTGGCCAGACACAGCACAGCCCAGCAGCCAAATCCAGAGGAGGAAAATGAAGCAGGTGGGGGAGCACTAAGCTGGGAAAATTGAGTGTCATGTTCAGAGCTCATCCAGAGGGTCTGTACAGCAGTCAGCCTTTCCCCAGCCCCGATAGGAAGGCAGCCTGCAGGAGAGGAGGGCTGAGCAACAGTTCTGTCTGCAGGTCTCAGCAGACATGTGCAGGCTGTGAGGGTGGCAAGGTGCCTGCAGAACTACCTGGAGGAACAGAGGAAGGTTTGTTCCAGTGCACTGTGACATACAAACACCTCCAGCAGCACATGCAGGGGCTGAGTGCTGTATCTCACACAGAGAGAAACAGCTAAAGCTGCAAAAACCAAGCAATGACTAAGGCAACAGAGTTATGTCTTTCCAGACTCATCGCTGTTTCCTCTGCCCTCCTGTCTTTCCAGACTGATCGCCATTTCCTCTCTCCCTCTCTACAGGCTGCGGAGTGCAGTGCAGCATGGCCCCACCTCCCCCTACCAACAAGCCCCACGTCTGCATGTCGGCCATCGTGATCGTGTCCACCATGGCAGTGATGGACGTGTACCTGGTGGAGCAGAACCTGGGGCCCAAGAAGATTGGGGTCTGCATCATGGTCCTAGTCGGGGACCTGTGCTTCCTCATTGTCCTGCGGTACGTGGCAGTCTGGGTCGGCGCCGAGGTCAAGACTGCCAAGCGAGGCTACGCCATGGTCCTGTGGTTCCTCTTCATCTTCGTGCTGGAGATCAAGCTGTACTTCGTCTACCAAAACTACAAGTCGGACAGGCGAGCGCCAGACCCGCTGGCCCGCAAGACCCTGACACTCCTGCTGTCCATCTCCATTCCCTCCCTCTTCGTCATCCTGGTGGCCACAGACCACATGGAGTATGTCACCGGCTTCCGCAAGAAGGAGGACCTGCGCAACCGGCTCTTCTGGGTGGTCATTGACCTGCTAGACGTGCTGGACATCCAGGCCAACCTGTGGGAACCCCAGAAGAAAGCGCTGCCCCTCTGGGCAGAGGGGCTGATCTTCTTCTACTGCTACGTCCTGCTGCTCGTGCTGCCTTGTGTGTCGCTCAGTGAGATCAGCATGCAGGGCGAGAACATCGTGCCCCACAGGATGATGGTGTACCCCATCCTCAGCCTGGCCACCATCAACGTGGTCACGCTCTTCATCCGCGGGGGGAACATGCTCTGGTACCACGACCCGCGAGTCTCTACCGTCTTCCTGGGCAAGAATGTGCTGGCGATTGTCATCAAGCTCTGCGCGGTGCTGCGATACCCGCGGCAGCTGGCTGAGTCCTCGCAGGGCCTTGGGCCCGAGCTGGGCAGCACCTCCCTCAGGCACCGCCACGCCCTGGCGGCCCCCCTGCCCCTCTCACATGCCCACACCCCACCGGCCCCCTTTGACGGCACGGAGCCCACCGAGGACAGCCTGGGACCCTCTTTCATCACCAGGGAGCTGTAGCGGTGTCCTGCCTGCAGCAGTAGCTTGGCCCCCTGGGAAACACAGCTGGCCCGGGTTCCTCCGGAGGTGATGCTCCCAAGAGGGCCTGTGTTTGCACTGCGCCAGAGCAGCGGTCTACCCATGCACAGGTAATACACACCCCTGGGCAGGGCTCTAACCAGCGCTAAGTGGCTTTCCTTTCACCGCAGGGACGGGAGAGAGAGGGGAGGAAGGAGGCGAGAGACAACGCCCAGGTGCCGGCCAGTCTCTCGCCCAAAACAGCCGAGGCCTGGACAGCCAAGCCCGTGGGCCAGTCTGTAATTAGGGTTAGCCCACCCTCAGACTGGAGTGACACAGACCTAACAAGTTTGTTCTGGACTTGAATCTGAGGGTCTGAAGAGAGACCTCCACCCAGAGATTCCCAGCTCAGGCTGGACACCCTCCTCAAACACGTCCTGAAGCCTCCTGGTCTAGGGGGAGCGGCCTTGAGGGGAGCCCCTGCAGCTTCTTTAAAGCACTGCCTCATTTACTTCCACTGTTTCATTAAAGACAACCTGCCTCATTTACCTCCCCTGCCCAGCCAGCCAGCAGGCACAGCAGTACAACAATGCCAGCAGTTAGTCAAGGAACTTTTCTTGACGTGTGACCTACTGTTGATTTATAGCAGTGTGCAACTGTGCGGTCAGTTTCACTGTTGGAAAAGCCCCTGTGCGCCAACCATTTCCTTTTCTCAATTAGAACTAGGGGCCATTTGTCAAAACGCTAAGAGCCCCGACATACATCTGCTATCAAGAATGCAAAGCAAGGCTTTAATTACTTTACAGAGCTACAGGGATTGGCACTCCTGTCAGAGTCAGTGTTCCGAAACCTTGTCTGTGAGCTGCAACACAGTAGCTGCTGTTCCAATTGCATCTTCAAGGGCTCTGAGCCCGTCTGCTCTACAACAACTCCTCCCTTCTGCAGTAACGGCTGTGGCGCCGATACACTGATACCCTCCATCGTGCTTTGCCCAGCTGGGGCTCACTGGAAAGGTCCAGCCTGTCACTGGAGAGGCAGAATGGGTATGTTCCCAGTGCCCACGTTGTGTTCGCTGGAGCTCTTCAGTGCTGGGCAGACAGATGCAGAAACAGCGAGCGCCTCACAGTTCGCTTCCTTCATTATCGGGTTTGTTCCTGCTGTCTGTGCTGCGGCAGTAATCCATTAGTAATGCTGTTAGATTTTTCTGTTTTCTTGTCCTGCTTGTGAGAATTTGCTTCCACTCTTAATTATGCCCTTATGAAGCTGTCAGATGTTCCTGCTGTGGCTTATTTATTTACACTTTCATGGCCCACTGCCAGCAACTCTCCTGTCAGCTCCAGTCAGCCCTCAGGGCGGAGCACAGACTAGAGCTGCGTGCTGAAGTGTACGCTGAGCACTAGAGCTCTCAGCACCACTGTAGACGTACAAAGTACAGTAGTGTTACAACTCCAATGGCAATCAGGACCCCCTTCAGGGTGGCATGGTGGCACAGTGGCTGGCCTTGCTGCCTCACAGCACTGGGGCCCTGTGTTTGATCCCTGGGTGCTGCCTGTGTGGAATTTGGAAGTTCTGACAATGTTTGTGTGAGTTTCCTTTGGGGGCTCCTGTTTTCTCCCACAGTCCAAAGAGATTCTGGTATGTTAATTGGCTTCTGGGAAAATCGGTCAGGGTGTCTGTGTGCCCCGCGATGGACTGGCATCCCATCCAGGATGAACCTAGCCTTGCGCCAACTGCTTGCCAGGAGAGGCTCTGACTCCCATGCAACACTAAATTGGGTGAAGCAGTAAGAAAATGGATGGATGGACCCCACTCTATTCTCTAGCATTCCCATTGGCAACACTTAATGCATCATAGTTAAGAAATACCTGATGCCTTCAAAGGGCACAGCATCAGCATCATAGCTTTTTCACTCAGGAAGTAGATAAACTAAAAACTTAGGGTTTGTCTCCACTGGCTAACAGGAACAATCACACAGGATCATATCCTGGACAACGGGAACAATCAATCATTCTCTGGAACTCAAAACAACTCTGACTCACTGTTTGATACCTTAATCCCAAAAGCCGTGCACCACTCAGATTGTTAGACAACAGAAGGAGCTGCACAGGTAACTCTGAAGATAACCTATATATCTTAGCTGGTAGAAATGTCTTCAAAGGCGGTCAAAACTCAGCTTTTCAATTAAACCCGAATAGTCCAACGACTGAGATGATATGTCAGTGAAACAGACTAAACATGCAATGTTTCACTTTAATGTAGCTGGGCCAATTCGGACTGTGAACGATTGTTTCAGCAGATGTAGGAAAGGGCAAGGACACTGAACTGTCTCAGAGAACTGTGTATACACACACACACACACACACGCCAGGGACACTGAACTGTCTCGCAGCACTAGACACACACGGGAGAGATGTTTTCAGAAGCAGTATTGAATGTGACAGAGATTTAATCTCTCCTGCCCAGGGCTGCAGAGGGAAGGGGGATTCAGCTCAATGACCTGAACATGATTGGATTTGACTTTGGAAACACAGTGGAGTGGAGGAGGGGAAGGACATCTCCTCTTTCCTGATGCTATAACACAACACACCCTCCGCCAGCACCGACACTCGAGCTCAGGGCAGCTGTACCCTCATGGCAGCACACAGGAGGGCAGAGCGCTGGCCGACCCGACCTCACCGCCACGCATCGCGGAACCAGCCACAGTTGTCACAGCACGCAGAGGGTCCTCCCAGCGACTGCAGTGCCTGTGAGCTCATTGGACCCCCCAGAGCAGCATCTCCCCGGACCGCTGAGCTTCCCTACCTGTCCCAGGATGGGTCCCAGTGGGGGCCCCGGAGCCGCCTGCCCTGCGCGCACGATGGTCCGGATCACGTTCCCCACGTCCGCCTTCTTCACCACCTTCACTGCCCTCGCCGCCTTCGACATGCTCTACCTGCAGGGAGGCCAGACCGACCCCAGCATCAGCACAGCCGCTCTTCCGGTTCGCCCTCCGGCCTTCGGCCCCTACTTGTCCTCACAATCTTTTTTTACTTCGTTCTGTTGCATTATTATGTGTTTCACCCTGTAAAGTGCTGCAGACACTGCTGGTGTGTACGAGCACTGAAATAAATCCTTGTAAAATCGCTGTGACTGAGGGCTCCGTTCTGTTCAAGCAGGAACCAGAGACTCGCCCCTGTACCCCCAGGCACTTCCAGAGCGTTGCTCTGCCAGATCAAGAGGACATTATGTTAAACATTTTGAAAAAAATGATTTGAACAAAATGAAAAAAAAATCATTTAAAAAATAACACAAACAAGGTAATTGGTATTTGAGTACATAGTATCTATCTGTTAGGACTGTCAGCACTGAAAGTCATTAAAAAATTTCAGAATTTAATTAATATTTAACGGAGGTATTTTCCAAGGTGACCCAGTTTCCAGCCTGTACTTGGAATTTTTATACCAAATTTAAACAGACTGAGATGACTCTGTAATCCTTACATAATTAGAAGCAGTTGAGTGATTGAACAGAATGGCTACAGGCTGTGTTATCTGACCAGGGACTAACGTTATTAGCATTTCTGTCAGCACTGTTACTGCGTGTGACAGAGTGAATGGGCTTTATTTCACTCAGAGCTGAGATGGAATTGCAAGAGGTCTGCAATTAGTAGACAGTGCCCCCTGGTGGGAAAAGGGCTGAATGGCATCAGTGCAGTGACAAACTTCTACTCAAAAAGGAAGGAATCAGCACACACGTGTACTTCTTGATCTAAGTCTGAATGGCAACCTGCAGACGCACCAGGGCATTGCTGCCAATATTTGGCTGACAGAGGCACTGAGGCACAAAACAGGTGCAGTGCCCACAATTACAGACCTTGGCTCCCCTTTTCAGATGGGTTACTGAAAGCCAGAAGAAAACGTTTACAAAGCTACTTCTTTTCTAGGAAAGAATACTGTAACACCAGAGTGGTCATTCGCATCACTGCTTCACAGTTCCACAGTTCCTGAGTCCTGGGTTCGATTTGTACGTTTTGTCCAGGGTCATGAAGACAATGAAGTTCTGGCACCTGGTGGGTTTGATCCCAGGTCAACAGCTACAGAACCACTGGAGCTGTACGTCCTCAGTAGTTTATTTCCCCATGAAAGGATAAGTGTGGTCCTGGAGGGGATATTCCTTAAACTATGGTCACCTCTTCTGCAGTATCTGGTAGTGGAATAAACAGAATTGTTGCTAAAGGGTCAGTGTGTATTAAAGGGGATCCCTTGAGCCCTTTAGGGGTTCCACACACTGAGGGAGGAGGGGGTTGTGCTGGATGGGGAGGTGACTGGATGGATCTAACCAGAGAGCTAGAAGGCAATGGAAGAGTGGAGACTTCTGTGCATCTCCATCTTTGTGATATTGTCTGCTATTTCCTCTCACGGTATTTGAGTCAGTAGGAAACAAGCTCTAATAACAAGCAAGTGAGACCTGATCTTTTTTCCAGGTCCCACTGCAGGTTCTTTGCTGGCTGGAGAAAAAAAAGCCCAGAATTTCAGTGGGGGAATAGGAAAGGAGGGTAACTTCCCAGAGCACAGCGTCCCTGTCACCCGGCTCCCCAGCCTCGCTGACAGGCTCAGGCTGCTGGTGGCCACACTGGGTATACGTCTGTGTGCGAGGACGATACTTATTTAAATGGTTGTCTGCGAAATCAGTTCCTAGTGGGCAGCAGTGTGGAGTGGCGATTGTAAATCTGGACTCCTAACTGGAAGGTCGAGAGTTCAAATCCCAGATGAAACCATGCTGTTGTACCCTTGAGCGAGCTACTTCATTCGAACTGTCCCAGTAGAGCAATCCAGTGGTATAAAGGAGCGCAAATCAAAGTCGCTCTGAAGAAAATAATTCAGTAGTAGCTAAGCAAACAATACAGCATGAAACACCAGCCCCAGGTTCCGTCTGAAGAACGGAAATACCATCAAGCAATAAATTAAAGTCCGGCATATTCGATACACCGTGTGCCTGAACACGTTAGTGTAAAAGCTCCAGATATGAAACAGTTACAGGGATAGGGGCTATGGTGATGATTTCACCAGAAGACTGATAGATATGCACACCTGCTTACACGTGTATGATCGGTATCATAAGTATAAAATATACACACGACTACGGAACGACGCAAATATTATAGGAGTAGGTTGCCTTACCCCTGTGCGACCGATCATAAACTCATTAGCGTGGGATCGAGAACAATGTAGTTAAGATCAAAGGTGCAGAAGTGATGGGAATCCCGATATACATCAACCACTCCGGCCAAGAATCGCTAGAGAAACTCCTCAGACACCAGCTGCTGGGGACAGTATCCTTCACGCCGCAGATCAGCTCATGGGCGCCGCCATGTTCGACTGGGACGGAGGAGGCGGGACTTCCGGTGAGACCTGGCAATCTCAATAATAATAATCATTTTGTTCATCGATTGTTTTTCCCTAATGCCACTAACATCTAACAATCGCAATTGAATATATATATATGCCATTTTTTTACATAATCTCCTTAATAATCTTAGGACTCCTTGTTCAAACGTACAAACGTATCGGTGCAGGTTTACTTTAGGGAAACCACGCAGTTTGGGAGATAGGGCTTGCAGATTACGTCTCTAAAACAAAAACGACCACCGGCCCGAGGGTGGCGCTGAGCAGTTTTGAGCCCTCCGGGACTCCGTAGCTGAAGACGGAAGCGATCAGAGCCTGGTTGCTCTACAGTACTTTGCGCACAGCTTTCCGCTCCTCCGTCAGACGGTGTCTGCTAGCGAATCCTGGATCCGGCACCGGCGAGCGGATAAGTAGGACAGTGTGAAGGGCCGGTGCGCCAGGGCTGAGATCCAGGTGGGTACTGACCTTTGGGGACGCGCCCGGCACACGGTCACAGAGGTGGGGCGGCGCTCGACTCCTGAAAAGCACGACCCCGCGCGGACACGTGGGGTCGATTCCACACTAGTCCTGAAGGAGCTCGACTATCTGCGAGTCTGCTGCGCGCTGTGCGGGCGACCATGCCGGTGTATCTAACCTGATAACTCCACAAATTGTTCGTATGAATTGTGCGTTAGCTTGATAAGTCTTGCGTTTAAAATAACTGAAAATACAATAACATTAAAATGTCCGTCATTACACCCATAACAATGAAAAAGAAAGCCTTTATTTCTGTGCAAATGCAGATTTTATACAGATGACGGTGTCTAATTCTGTTTTTGGTGAGTGTTTGCTGGTGGCTGTATATTAATAATCTCCTGTGTGAAGCACTGAATGAACATTGTCAATTGAATAAGACCTACTCAGTGG